CAGCTTTCCAATGCATATGAGGCGACTGAAAACACCATGGTTGGGTCAGGCACACCTTAGTCCTCAAGGTGACATCTTTGCCTTTCAACACTTTAAAGAGGTCTTTTGCAGCAGATTTGCCTAATGCCATGTGTCTTTTGATTTCTTGACTGCTGCTTCCATGGGTGTTGGTTGTGAATCCAAGTAAAATGAAATCCTCGACAACTTCAGTCTTCTCCGTTTGTCATGATGTTGCTATTGGTCCAGCTGTCAGGGTTTTTGTTTTCTTTATGTTGGGGTGTAATCTGTACTGAAGGCTAAGGTCTTTGATCTTCATTAGTAAGTGCTTCAAGTCTTCTTCACTTTTAGCAAGCAAGGTTGTGTCATCTGCATAATACAGGTTGTTAATGAGTCTTCCACCAATCCTCATGCCACGTTCTTCTTCATATAGTCCAACTTCTGGACTATATGATTGTTTGCTCAGCATACAGATTGAATACGCATGGTGAAAGGATACAACCCTGACGCACACCTTTCCTGACTTTAAACCACACAGTATCCCCTTGTTCTGTTCAAACAACTGCCTCTTGGTCTACGCACAGGTTCCTCACAAACACAATTAAGTGTTCTGGAATTCCCATTCTTTGCAATGTTATCCATAACTTTTTATGATCCACAGAGTTGAATGCCTTTGCATAGTCAATAAAACACGGGTAACATCTTTCTGGTATTCTCTGCTTTCAGCCAAGATCCATCTGACATCAACAATGATATCCCTTGTTCCATGTCCTCTTCTGAATTTGGCTTGAATTTCTGACAGTTCCATACCAATGTACTGCTGCAATCGTTTTTGAATTATTTTCAGCAAAATTTTACTTGTGTGTGATATTAATGATATTGTTCAGTAATTTCTGCATTTGGTTGGATCACCTTTCTTTGGAATGGGCTCAAATGTGGATCTCTTCCAGTCAGTTGTCTAGGTAGCTGTCTTCCAAATTTCTTAGCATAGATGAGTGAGCATTTCGAGCACTGCATCTGTTTGTTGAAACATCTCAGTTGGTATTCCATCTGTTCCTGAAGCCTTGTTTTTTGCCAATGCCTTCAGTGCAGCTTGGACTTCTTCCTTCAGTACCATTGGTTCTTGATCATTTGCTACCTCCTGAAATGCCTGAACATCAACCATTTCTTTTTGGTACAGTGACTGTGTATTCCTTCCATCTTCTTTGGATGCTTCGTGCATCATTTAATATTTTCCCCATAGAATTCATCAAAATTGCAGCTCAAGGTTTGAATTTTCTCTTCAGTTCTTTCAGCTTGAGAAACACTGAGCGTGTTCTTCCCCTTTAGTTTTCTAACTCTAGGTCTTTGCACATTTCCTTACAGTACTTTGTCTTCTCAAGTTGCCTTTGAAATGTTCTGTTCAGCTCTTTTACTTCATCATTTCTTCTATTCACTTTAGCTACTCTACATACAAGAGCAAGTTTCAGAGTCTCTTCTGATATCAATTTTGGTCTTTTCTTTCTTTCCTGTCTTTTTAATGACCTCTTGCTTTCTTCATGTATGATGTCCTTGATGTCATTGCACAACTCGTCTGGTCATTAGTGTTCAACACATAAGATCTATTCTTGAGATGGTTTCTAAATTCAGGTGGAATATACTCAAGGTCATACTTTGGCTCTTGTGGACTTGTTCTAATTTTCTTCAGCTTCAACTTGAACTTGCATATGAGCAAGTGATGGTCTGTTCTGTAGTCTGCCCCTGGCCTTCTTCTGACTGATGATATTGAGCTTTTCCATCATTTCTTTCCACAGATGTAGTCAACTTGATTCCTGTGTATTCCATCTGGTGAGGTCCGTGTGTATAGTTGCTGTTTATGTTGTTGAAAAAAGGTATTTGCAATGAAAACAAACAAAAAACAGAGGCTATGAGAAGTTAAATGACTTGTCCAGTGTTACACAGTTATTATGTAGAGAAAATAGGCTTTGAACTCAGACAGTTTAGTCCCAGGGCCCATGTTTTGAGCACTATGCTATAGTGCGTCTCAGTTTTTTCATCTGTAAAATGGGGTTATTATACAATACCCATCTCGTAGGATGATAATGAGAATTAAATAAAAAATACAAGGGAGGTGTTTAATACAGTACTCAATAAATCACAGCTGCTTTCAGTATTATCACCATGCATGTGCTTGTCTCATCTTTCCTCTTGAATGGAAACCGAGGAAGGGGAAGTTCCTGTCTTCCTGGTCTTTTTTCTTTCACTTTGTTTCACCTTGTGCCTGGCACATTCATGGATAGCAGCCCTGAGAGGTCCAGTCAGCTTTGGGCCTATCTCAGTTTCAAAGAGATTGAAGGAGGGGTTTTAGAATTTTCCTCGAATATGAGGATGTGTCCTAGGTAACTCTGAGCCATTGTGGTTTTGCACTTTTACCGCACTGAGTATCCCTCCTCTCCCCTCCCCGGCCCTGTGTCCTCCCTCTCCCTCAGTCACTCAGGACGGGCATTCCCATCTGTAGGCATGGCTCTGTATGTCATACTTCCAGTCTACTAAGCAGATTCCCAGGTCCCCTCTCCATGAGCCACAGTTTCTGGAATCAGTGACACCCAGGTAGCTTTTGGGATGTGAGGTACTCAACCCAGGCATACCTCTTCCCAGGGTCAGATTTAGTTTGTCCTTGGAGCTATTAGATTTCCTTAGGGACAATTTTTGTAAAGATGCCTTGTCCATTTCCTGAACTAAGCTGACACTGTACAGGACCAGAATATGAGTCTCTCTCATGTTCGAATCCCAGCCGTATGGCCCTACCAGCCCCTCCTCTAAGTACACTTTCTCCAGGAACAGCATCCCTAATACATTTGTGCAAATAAAAATAAAACAAAGCAACTCTTTTGAAAGTACAGATCACACCCCTCCGCCCCTCCACCCCCCGCAGGTTATTCACTTGTAGGATTAGTTATTTTGATTCTGCCCCTGGGGAATGAAAGTGCTCTTTAAATAAGCCCAGAGAATGACTAACAAGTAATCTTTCAAATTAATAATGCCTAAAAGATGAAAGTTATTAGTTTCCTTTATACATCCAGTTTATTATCAGTGGTGCAATTAAATTCCGTGTTAGGCTGTGGTTTGAGCGCTTCACAGCTTGGAGAAGCTTTCTCCTGAGGCCTTTGTGGGGACAAGCTGCTGGTTCATTCATAGGGAGAGCACGTGGGCCTGGGCCCCGGTGGGAGAGGTTCCAGGGCTGAGTTCGCAGTGAGCCCTGCTCATGTGGGCTGGGAGAGGCCTGCAGGGGGGCCGACCCCTGTCTCTAGGGAGCCTGCTGTGATGGGCAGCCTTCCCACTCACGGATGGCTGGTCCTAGCAGTGGTGTATGATGCCACATACTATTAAATGCCTGTTCTCTTGGGCTTTACTGAGACTCTGGGGATCCCAACACCCACCCTCATTCTTATCCTGTCTCTCAAGGCCTCTTGTATACAGTGTGTGTGCTGGGCCTGCCTGTGGGTGGTCCTGGGGTGAGAGAACAAGACATGGGTGGTTCAGGATTTTCTGGAGATGGAGGGCCTGGCATTCTGTTCCTCCAGAGGAACAAGTGTCTGAGTTTGGCCGGGCCTTGCTGAGGGCCTGCATGCGTGGCTGTCTTACAGGGCCATCTACACAGGACCAGACCACACAGAGCAGTGAGGGAGCTGGTTCAGCTTGACTCACAGCAGCCTGCCGGGGTGGGAAGCCAGATAACCACCTGCTCACTGTGGGACATGGACAAGCTACAGAGCTTCTCTGCTCTTTAGTTGTCACATCTGTAAAGTGGAGATACTAGTACTGTCTACCTCGTAGGGTTGCTGTGTGTTGAAAACAGAATGATGATGTGTGTGAGGTGCTTTGATAATACTGCCTGGAGCCCAGTAAGTATGCAGTGAAAACGGCCATTTTGAATGCTACATTAATACTTACTACTTTTACAAATGACTCATAGCAAAGGTCGTTTAAGAAACAGGACACCCCCATCCTAGGGCCATTTAAAATATGACACATTTGATAAAATTTTGACTTATATACCTCTTTTCAGAACTACATCTTAGAGGACCTGTGCTAACCACTCTTAGCCACTTCAAGAAAAATGTTCTCCAGAGTCAAGGGGCAATCTCTAAGCACAAGGTACCACACCCCAATGTCCCTGCTGGAGGCTTGGGCTCCTCCCCACTGGGTGAGTAGTGTCTCAGGCATGTGGCTACAGATGCTGCCAGAAGCTATAGCTGTGCTCCTGAGAAACGGGAGCAGACTGGCCACCATATTCATCCTCCATTCCTGCCTACTCTTGACTCGCCATTGCCAAGTCCCTTGAGCCCTTTGGCAGAGATTTCTGGTGGTACCTGGTGAGACAACGTTAAAATTATTAGCCAAACTATTACACAAACTACTAGCAAAACTTAGATGAAAGAAGTCAGAAAAGTGGTTATCTTGGTGATAGGTGGGTGGGTGGGGGGCTGTTGACTGGAAAACAAAAAAAATTTTCTAGGGTGTCGGAAATCCTCTATATCTTAATCTAGCTGGTAGTTACAAGGGTGTATACATATGTAAAAAGTCATCATCATCAAGCTGTATATTTCAATTTGTGCATTTTATACCAATTATACCATATTACTAGCCGATTAACAATATGACTAGCCAAAACGCAGGTGGGAGATTATCCAGGCAGTTCATATGTCATACGCCCTGCCTGACCCACTTTATTCTGGAGACACTGAGAGTTCTAAGCCTCTGCATTCATCACACATCTTTATCTTCCTCCACAAGGGTGTTTATACCCACAAGTTATATTTATATCTGCAGCCACATCTATATATTTAAATCTGGAGAAGAGAGAAGAGTGTTACATGTGTGTGTCTATATAAAGGATGGTTTGCTTCTTTCAAAGAACAGGAGGATCCTGGCTCCATTTTTCAGAACAGAACACTCACTCTCTCACACGCACTAAGCCTGGATTCCTAACTCACAACCTCATCTGCAATGTGGACACTGACCTTGATGATGATCCTGGGGATCGTCAGCACAATGGACTTCTGCTTGGCCAGGATATCCTTGGTCTCGTTGACACGGGCTGTGACGAAGAAGTGCAGGGAGGCCTGTTCCAGCAGCTGGCCCAGGTACTCGCCGGCTCTGACCGGTACCTCCTCCTTCTTGACTGGCAGGAGGAAAAACAATACGCCAGGCATCAAGACCAGAAAAAGGATCTGTCTTGTTTTCCCCCAAGTTCTGCCTTCTTTCCTACATTCACATAGCTGCAACCAGGGACAAAGCAAAGGTGAGAGGCACATAGAACAAAGAGTCGATCAGGTACAAGCTCTCCTGCTTCTTCAGCAAAGAAAGAATGTGCTGGAAATTTAATATTCAGTAAAGTCTTACTAGAGAAAACGTGTCAGACTTCCAGAACAAAGGTTTTGCTGTTGTAAAATAGAATGCCACCACAAACCAAATAACTAGTTGCTGTCAAGTTGATTCCAATTCATGGCAACCCCATGTGTGTCAGAGTAGAACTGTGCTTCATAGGGTTTTCAATGGCTGATTTTTTAGGAGTATATCACCAGGTCTTTCTTCCAAGGTACCTCTGAGTGGGTTTGAACTGCCAACCTTTCAGTTAGTAGTCCAGCACTTAACCATTTGCACCACCCAGGGATGCCACGAAGATGTTTAAAATCACAGAGCCAGGAGTTTTTAACTGTGGCTGCTTGGACTTGGGCAGAGGGCAACCCCACCAGGGCAGGTGAGGAGTAGCCGAGTGCACAGAATGTCATCATTCCAGGCACTGCTGACCTCTTGGAATAAGCAGCATCCCACCCAGCCATGGACCATGCTTGAGGCACAGCTGTGAACTCTGGCAGCCTTATCCTTGCAGCCTCCACGTTTTCTCCCCAGCTTTTCCTGTACCTCCCTGCATCATGTTTTCTCTACTGAAGAGAAAGAAGCTGTTGAAACCAACTTTCATCAAAAGCAGTCAGCCCTCTCCTACCCCTGCCCTATTTGCAACTCAAAATAAGACATTTGTGCCAAATGTTTGTTTCTGCAAATCACTGGTGCTGGCTTTTAGATACTGGGGACAACGGGCCAGTGAGGGAGTGGTCCTGGCTTCCCTCCAATCACCATCAGGGCTGGGGACTGGGGGGCTGGAGATTCTCGCTTGTAGCTCTGACCACTGCAATGAGGCTCTGGCTGCACTGCCTGCTTTCTCTTTCCTGCTTCCTATAGCCCATGATTCTAGAGAGCAAAGGGCAGTTCTCCAGCCCTGCATGCGCAGCAGGGCTGCCATCTGGGCAGAGCCAGGCTGCTTGTGATGCACTGTCAGCCACAGACCAGCACAGGGGTGATGACTCGCTCCTCCATCCCCAGCACAGAGAACAGCCTCTATAAACGTCTCCACTTCTTCCCTGTCCAATCTAGGGCTGCTGCCAAAGATCCCTCCTTCAGCTCCTTTGTGAATGTTATTGAGGGAAACAGCTCTCATGGCTGGCAGTTTAAAAGGCAGAGAGGAGCCCATTTTAGCCTTGAGACTGAGCAGCAGGTCCCTATCAATGATGTAAAGCTGTGTGTGGTGGAGTGCAGGGCAGCGCTCTTGGGGTAGTGGCCCACCAGGACTCATGTTGACTCCCAACCAAAGGTGTGTCAAGCCCTATGACCCATGGCTGGGGCTCTTAGACCCTGGGGTTGGTCTACGACAGCTTACCCTGGGCCCTGAGGACCAGGAGGCCAGGGAGGCCTTGGCTTTGGCAGCACCTCCATTGCAAAGTCTCTCCACAAATGAGCAGATGTCATGGGCGCCTCTAGCCCTCTAATGGTTCTCAAACTTGATCCATGTTACAATTGCCCAAGGACACTGAGGAACCTGCTGTGCAAGATCCCACCCCAGACCAACCCAATCAGAATCTTTAAGGTTGGGACCCAGGCAAAAGTATTTTTAAAACATTCACCAAGTTCTAATGTGCAGCCAGGGCCAAGAAGCACTGCACCAGCAACCAGGTGAACTCCACAGAACCAGCCCTGCACAAAGCCTTGGTCTAAGTGGAAAATAGAGGCTCTGGGTGGTGCAAATGGTTAACATGCTTGGCAGCTAACTGAAAGTTTGGAGGTTCGAGTCTACCTAGAGGTGCCTCAGAAGAAAGGTCTGGTGATGAACTTCCAAAAAATCAGCCATTGAAATCAGCACAGTTCTACTCTGACACACACTGGGTCATCGTGAGTCAGAATCAACTCAACAGCAACTGGTTAAGCAGTAGTCATGGGCCTTCCCATCTCAGACCTTGCTACTCCAAGCCTGTGGTCCCCAGAGCAGCAGCACTATCATCTTCTGGAAACTGGTCAGAAGGGCAGGCTCCATGACCCCTCTCAGCCCTGCTGACTCAGGCTCTGCCCTTTAATAAGATCCTCAGATGATGCTTGCTAAAGTCTGAGAGTTTCTGAGCTGTAGGTGGTTTTAACAGCAGATGGAGTGGAGTTAGGGCAAAATTAGGGAAGAGTTACCATGGTCTCAGTTTTAAAATTGAAACTTGTGAGTCCTGGGAACCCCGTTGATCCCAGGCAAACCAGAGCAGTTGATTACCCAACACAGTGGTTGTCACCTGGGTGGGACTTTGCCCCCACTGGGGGACATTTGGCAATGTCTGGAGACGTATTTGATTGTCACTATTGGGGGTGTTTGTGCTACTGGAACCTAGTGGGTAGAGGCCAGGGCTGGTGCTCAACATCCTTATAACACAAAGGATGCCTCAACAAAGAAGTACCCTTTCCAAAATACCAGTAGTGCGGCGGTTGAGGAGCCCTGCCCTAGGCTAGGAGGAGTTATTAAAATGCATTGGTTCATCCTAGACAAGCGCTGAGGAATGGCTTGATTCCTGGGGCAGTTCTGTTCCATTTAGAATGTTTTGAAGCTATGACCTTGTCTTGACCTTGGCCCCCAAATTCTGGCTTTTTGGATCCACTCATTTTGCCTTCTTTGAATCTGACCCGGGACCCTGCTTTCTCCACGTCTCCCCTAACAATTAGTTGTCCTGATGGATGAGGCTGTGGCCCCAACTGGGATACAATCTGAGTTGAGTACACGTGGCCTGTTTTCACTGAGTCCCAGATTGGGTCTGACGGAGTGGCAGACTGGCAGGCTTTGAAGAACATGCATTTTGCCTCTAGTTCCCTCTAGCAATAAGAGTAAAAGAAAAATGGACTTCCTCTGGATGTGTTTCACCACTAGGTTCCTTTAGGCTGGTGGGATGTGCCTGTCTTCTTCCTACCAGTCTTTACAGAGGCTCTTGCTGCCCTCACAATCTCAGCAACAGGACTTCTTCATTCTCCGAGATAGAAAATGCCCAAGATCACAGAACTAAAGAAACTGGGCTGTGCTTCAGAGCCCAAGAGAACAGTGCTCCTGAAATAGTATGTTATGTAAGTGCTGTGTTTTGCCACTGAACAAGAAATTGTTCTAGATAAAGTTTATTAAACGTGGCAAGAGAAAGAAGGATAGATTTTCACTATGTGCATGGTGGAGCTGGGATGCTGCCAATATCATTTACGGTGTCTGGGGAAAGCCAGGGGAGACACAGACTGGAGCTACCTCATCTCTTTTCCAAAAAGCAAAGAAAACTAAATATATCCAAGTGGAAATGATAGCACCTTTGAAGGTACTGGAAGGTTTAAGTTATTCAAATCTTCCAGTTGACTCCAGCCCACACATTCCCTTTAATCATCAATCTGGAAAGTATGCCTTCGGTTCTACTTGGAAAACTTTCTTTTTTATAGAGCCACCTAGAAATCTATGTCTTTGACCTGCTTGCTCAAGGTCTAGAATTATGTTTCTTTCTGCAATATAGATAGCAGTTTATTGCATACAATTAATGCTGTTACCTGCAGGATAAAGCACAGAAGTCTGCAGTTCCCTTCAAGTTATACAAGGCAAGCCCTTGGAATGAGCCGAGTGGGTGGGAACTGTGTTAATACTGAGTCAGGCTTAGATTTGGTAGGCTGTCCCCAGATACATGACTGAGAGGGATAATAGATCATGGTGCTCTGTCCTACCAAGGCGGTGCTGGTTCAGGGGTAGAATTCTCACTTTCCTTGCAGGAAATTCATTCAATTCCTGGCCAATGAACCTCATGCACAGCCACCACCTGTCTGTCACTGGAGGTTTGCGAGTTGCTATGATGTCGAGCAGGTTTCAGGGGAGCTTTCAGAATAAGATGGACTAAGAAGAAAGGCCCAGCAATCTACTTTTGAAAATCAGCCAGTGAAAATAGGTCACAACGGTCTGATTCGCAACCAATCATGGGGATGGTGCAGGACCAGGCAGCGTTTCGTTCCGTTGTGCATGGGGTCACCATGAGTCAGGGGCCGACTCCATGGCAGCTAACAACAGTCTGTCCCACTAACTTACATACACTCGTTGTTTTATTGGATACGGGAGAGAAGAGGAAGGAGATTGAGTGATGAGACTATTGAGAGGTGGGGCAAGGCTGGCTCACAGTTCCCTGCCTAGGGGAGTTAGGGTGGCATCCATGCTGGATTCCAGGAATAGGGGCACAGGTAAGGGATTTGGCCCACTTAGGTTCCACTTTCACACAGGACTGGCTCACTGTCACTGCCTCTTTACACCTGGGTTTTATTATCTGCTTTGCTTCTAATTGCTCTGTGTGACCTTGAATAAGTCAACTCTCCTTTCCAGTCTCAGTTTCCCCAAATGTGAAAGTTTTGAAAATTGGCACTTACTAGGAGCCTACCATGTACTAGCCTTTTCACATATATTATTTCCTTTAATATTCTCTACATCCTCCCTCTCTCACACCACATATCCAATCCCTCAGTCAATCCAGAGGGCTCTACCTCCAGAACATACCCAGACCTGATGACTTCTTACCACCACCACTACCACCACCATCTCTCACCTGGACTACTGCAGTAGCATCCTACCTGGTCCTTAAGCTGCAAGCCATGCTTCCCCTAGAGTCTATTCTCAAGCCAGAGTGACCTTCCAAACCCTAAGTTCGATCATGCCACACTACTGCTCAAAACCCTCCAATGACTTCCCACCTGACTCGGAAATAAAGTCAAAGTCCTTACAAGAGTCTACAATTCTTTACATGCTTTGCACCCGCCACTGTCCCCCTTGCCACCTCCGCTCCAGGTTTCCTTGCTGATCATGGAACACATCAGGCATACTCTTGCCTCAGGGCCTTTGCACTTGCGGTTTCTTCTGGTTGGAATGCTCTCCCTCTAGATATCCACAGGGTTCACTCCTGCCCTCTGTCAGGTTTCTGTTAAAGGTCACCCTATTAGAGAAGTTCTCCCTGACCACTCCTCCCCACCAACACCTCTATCCTCCTTAACCAGCTTCATATTTTCCATTGCATCATCAACACATGATACGCTCACTGCGTGGGTGTTTATTGTCTGGTACCCCACTAGCGTGTAAACTCCATGAGGGCAGGGACTTCTGTGTTATTTGTTGCTATGTCTCCAGCACAAAACAGTACTTGGACTTACAAAGCACTAAATAAAGGTCTGGGGAATGATGGAACAACCCTGGGACATAAGGTAGTGTTATCTCCACTTACAGGGGAGGACAGTGAACTCAGATTGCTAAAGTTACTTGCAGACGGCCACACTGCTAGGACGTGGCACAGTCACAAGAAATATCTAGATTTGTCTGATTCTAAAGCTCAGGCTCTCTACACCCAATGTGTCTAACTGTTCTACAAAATTATGACAACTGTTCTCCTCTTGAGTCCTTAATATTGACTCTCCTTTAAGAATTACCTTTCCTACCCCTAGGGAGGAGTCCTGGTGGTACAGTGGTTAAGAGCTTGGCTGCTAACCAAAAGGTCAGCAGTTTGAATCCACCAGCCGCTCCTTGGAAACCCTATGGGGCAGTTGTACTGTGTCCTATAGGGTCACTGTGAGTTGGAATTGACTCAACAGCAACAGGTTTGATTTTTTGGTTTTACCCCATTTTTCTGGGAATACCAAATCCAGAAAGCTTGAGAACAATTGATATATGTGATTCATTTATCCCAGGAGTGCATAATTAATCTTGCTTGTCTCTGCTTTGTAAAACTTGTTATTTGCATAGTTAAAACAATTTTTTTTTTCTTTTTCAGGTCACCAGTGAAGCAGGGCCACATGTCAGGTCAACAGAAACCCAATGTCTTGGAAGTGTTCACCCTTCCTGACCTGCTTGATCAACTCAACATGCTCTGGCTGTAGCCCAGGTTCTTCCAGCTGACTTTCTGCCAGTCGTATGACCAACCGTTGTGCCCACCAATACTAGTACCCTAGGAAATGCAATTAGTCAAAATTGCAATCCCAAAGGCAGGCTTCAGTGTGTGTCTATCCCAATACTGTTTAAAATCTTCTGAATTTTTATAGTGATAAAGTCCTTGGAAGGGCATGTGTGCAAGGGAGGCTGGAAGAGACCAAGGATGTGAAAGAGGCCCTGAGAGCAATGGCAGACAGAACCAAGTCCTTCACAGCTCTGGGACAGCACACCTTCTGAATCCATTCTCCTCTCCCAATGTCTGGCTCTATCCTGACCCAACACTTTCTGACACATCATTTTTAAGAAACAAAGAAACAGCCTGTTCCTCCCTGTGTTATGGATTGAATTGTGTCCCTCCAAAAGACATAATGAAGTCCTAACCTCTGGACCTGTGAATGTGACCTTGTTTGGAAATAGGGTCTTTGAAGATGTTATCAATTAACATGCGGTCATACTGTAGTAGGGTGGATCCTAATCCCATCTGAATGATCTTATAAAAGAGGAGAAGAGACACGGAGAGACAAACAGAGGAAAAAGGATCCTGTGAGAATGCACCTATACTCCAAGGAATGCCTGGGGCCAGCAGAAGCTGGCAGAGACAAGAAAGGGTCTTCCTCTGGAGGGAGCACAGTCCTATCAATGCTCTAAAATTGAACTCCCAGCTTCCACACTGTGAGACAATAACTTTTGGTTCTTAGAAGCCACCCACCTTCTGATACTTTCTTAAGGCAGCCCTAGCAAATTAATACACCCTGCCTTCTAAATGGTACATCAAAACACACAATTCCTGCTGGGCATCCCCTGAAAACCTTTCCTAACTTGAGAAAGAGGAACCCCCAGGAAGCCTGCTTTCTGAGATGGGTCCTTTAGACAAGAGCTTCACAAACTTTCCTGTGCACATGAATGCCCTGGGGAGCTTGTTAAAATGCAGGTTCCCACTCAGCAGGCCTGGGAACAGCCTCCCCAGGGATGCTGACAATTCAGGTCTTCCAATCACACTTTGAGTAGCAAGAAGTTAAGATACATTTAATTTTCCTGAGTTATTTGGGGCTCTAGGCTTTGAGAATTTCAGTGTTCACCTCTAGACATGGGACATGAAGACAAAAGTTGAGGCTTTTCTAGAATAGGTGGATTCTCCCCATAAATGAGTTCACTCTCTTGAGCTCTGGGGGAGAACTTTCACTTTGACAGAATGTTATTGGGGCAGGGGGAGGCCATCACCAAGGTAGAGAGGGAGCCAGATGAGAAATTCTGGAGAGAACTACACCCTTTAGCTTACAGGATAAGGGTCCCAGCGTCACATCAAATGTCTCCTTCTTGAATTCAGCCTTGGAGACCCCGGTGTAGAAGACAATGTTGCCTGAGAGATAAGCTGAGATGGTGTAATGGTTGGAGCTGTTGTTCTGGAAAGTGATGGTGATTTTGAAATCTTTTCCCAGCACAGCATTTTCCACTTCAAAGTCCATGTCAACATCGGACCGTGGTTTCAGGATGCCTTCTGTGCTGATGGCCTTCTTAGCTCCATACATCAGGGCGGTTTCTAGGGCCAGCCTCTCTTCTTCTTGACCTAAGAAGAATCCAGAGAGAGTGACAAAGGAAAGAACAGATGAGACCCGTTAAAGAGAAAAGAATATTAATAAGCTCACACTGTGTGCTGGGCTCTGAGCTATGCCTCATTCGGCCCACAAAATCCCTTTGAGCAGGTGGTGTTACTGTTCCCATGCTATAGATGATGCAAAATTGGGTTCCAAGAGTCAGTAACCTGCCCAAGTCACTGAGTTAGTAAGCGACAGTGCTGGGGTCTACCTGGAGAGGCTGTTGCTCTAAGGGTTGTATCTCCAATGCTACTGTTTTAGGATTCAACAGGCAAAATTGACAAAATCTAACATTTCTCAAACTGTGGGGCCAAAGTGCTTCACCCCCCCTAGCCATGTAACTAGAATTTTGGGTTATCTAGGTGTAGATTTTGGAACTCACTCCATCTTCTGCACTGCGAATTTTCTCCTGTTCATGAGGGTCCCTTCGAACTCCTCAGCCCCTCCCCAAACAAGACCTGCCTTCCTCTTGGGGCTGCCCCACTTGCTCCTTGCTGAGCTGACCCCAGGCGGCTCTGTCCTCCATGCCCACCCTCCTCTGTGCTGCTTGCCCCAGCAGAATGCAGGCAGAGCTGGCCTTTTCCCCACTGCTTGCCGCACAACACTTAGATCTAGCCAGCTGCCTCTAAGTCGACTCCGACTCATGGTGATCCCATGTGTGTCAGAGTAGAATTGTGCTCCATAGGGTTTTCAATGGCTGATTTTTCAGTAGATTGCCAGAGTTTTCTTCTGAGGTGGCTCTGATTGGACAGGAACTTCCAACCTTTCGGTTAGGAGCTGAGCAAGTTAACTGTTGGTGCCGCTCAGGGATTCCCACTTAGATCGAGCAGGGTGATAACAGAAGTCAATGGAACAAGGGCTCTCAGGTCAAATCCCCTTGGGGAACACGTGTTCTCTAGCGCCCCCTGGATCTCCACAAAGTTCATTAGCCTACTCAAAGTTGTGCTATTAAGCCCTACAGCAAAGAGACTTGCTTACTTTCCTTAAACACAAGATTTCCTGAACTCTGCTGACACAGAACAGAGTTTTTGGAGGAGTAACTATTGGCATCTGGCAGTGCACTAAAGTTTCAGCACAGTTTAAGATGTGTGTGCTGCTTTCAGGAAAATGTCTGTGTAGGGTTTCCAAGGTGATGGTGGTGGAGATGAATGGAGGGGGAGGAGGAGAAGGGCTGAACGCTGGGAAAGAAAAAGATAGCTTTGTTTAGGCAAGGGAGTGGGAAATGCAAGATAGGCCTCATATCTTGCTGCTCCAGATGCTGACAGGCTAGGCTAACATGCTTTTCCAAGCTCAGGGCTGGAGGTGTAGAGGGACAGTAGCTGTTCTCTTTCCCACCCAAAATACCAATGAGTATACCTTAGTGCATGGAGGAGGGTAGATTCGAGGGCACATTTTTTGGCTTGTAAAAACTAGGGAAATAGCAAACAAAAAAACACTTTAAAATTGGTAGGGCTTATAATTATGCTAATTTTAAGATACTGGCTTCCACGTTACATAGTTAATAATTAAATGCAATGGAGATTAAGAGACCAATTAATAGTAGCAACTATCATTGAGAGCTAATTATGTGATAAGTGCTTATTGTGCAATATGTCATTTAATCCTCACAACACATCTACATAGCAGGCACTGTTACTTGGTAGACACTGTTATTGCCATCAGTTTCCTCCTGTATAAAACAAGGGGGCCTACCTCCAGGGTTGTCAGGTGGATTAAAGAGGATTTATGCAGAGTACCTGGGCATAAAACAAAAACCAAACCCGTTGCTGTCGAGTCGATTCCAACTCACAGTGACACCTATGGGACAGAGTAGAACTGTCCCATAGGGTTTCCAAGGAGCGGCTGGTGGAAACTTTTGGTTGGCAGCCAAGCTCTTAACCACCGTGCCACCAGGGCTCCGCCTAGGCATAGTAGATGCAAATAAGTGGAAGTTACTATTACTCTGCAAAGGTGGAGACAATGCCAGCAGGTGTTGCAAACAAACGTGAATGTGTGTGTGTGTGTGTGTGTGTGTGCGCGCGCATTAACTATTTCTCTGTTACCAAGACTGCAAGAATGTGCCAGAAACAATTGGTCTAAGACAAGCATTGGCGAAAGCATATGTTTACAGATCAATAGGAGTGAGATAACAATAAAGGGAAGGAGGCGCTACAAAAATAAAAGTGCCATGAAATATGTTAGCAGAAATCATTTGGCAAAAGAGCTTAGTGAGAGACAGCACTAATGATTGTTGCTCTGGATGGGGACCAAATGTGCATTTAGACAGAATGCAGGGGCAAACCCCAGCAGCAGGAACAGGATCAGAGAGGGGCCACCTTGGAGGAGGAGCTGAGATGGCAGGAAGTCCCTGGGTGGTGCAAACAGGTAACACGCTGGGCTGCTGAGAGTCTGGCAGTTCTAGCCCACCCAGAGTCACCTTAGAAGAAAGGCCTGGCAATCTACTTCTGAAAAATCAGCTACTGGAAACCCTGTGGAGCACAGTTCTACTCCGACAAACATGGGGTCAACCCTAACCCCGGTCCTTTCCTCTCATCACTAGCACATCTCCTGATTTTCTTTCCTTTTCCTTTTCACAGTACTTGTCACACCACATTGTGTGACATTACCCCACACCCCCAATAGAACATAAGCATTATGAGAACAGGGGTGTGGTCTGTTCTGTTTACCTCTGTGTCCCCTGGACCCAGGTCCCATGTGGCAGAGGCTCTGAAAAACTGAGGTTTGGAGAGGCATTTTGCTTTCAGACAGAGACAGATCATTTGTCTTGGTGTTGTTGTTATTAGCAGCTGTTAAGTCAACTCCTAACTCAGGGTGACCCTATGTACAACAGAATGAAACACTGCCCAATCTTATGCCATCCCCATGATCAGTTGCAATCAGGCAGTTGTTATTCACAGGGTTTTCATCAGCTTAATTTCAGAAGTAGATTGCCAGGTCTTTCTTCTGAAGTGCCTCTGGGTGGATTTGAACCTCCAACCTTTCAGTTATCAGCCAAGCGCGTTATTGGTTGCATCACCCAGGAACACTAGCATACTACACACCTGATACCATTTAATTCTCAGCAGTTGCCATGGAATGGAAGGAGGGGGATGAATACGAGAAATATTTCAGAGGAAAAATTTAGAGAACTTGCTGATGGACTTTGTGTAAGGAACAAGGAAAAGAGGAAGACTATGCCAACTCTCAAATTGCTAAATTTGTGCGTATTGTGGTTCTCTTTGCTAGGATAGGGATAGCAGGAGAAATAGATCTAGGGTGGGGGAGGGAGAGGAGAGAAGGTGGCATGTGGGATAGGGTGAGTTTTAGGTTTCTGTGGGACATTTAGATGCATGTAGGGTTTAAAAGTGAAGTCTGGGCTAGAGTCGTGGACTTGGGGGGTGATAGCACATGTGTAAGAGTTAACACCAGCTGTGGAGAATGAACATAAACATAAGTGGTAGAAACAAAGTCCAAGGATTGAATTCTAGGACGAAGGAATAGTCAGAGGGTGGGTGAAGAAAGGCAAGCTTAGAGTTGCAGAAAGAGATAGAAAAAAGAGTCAGGTAGGTGGGGTTAGAACCAGAAGAAAGTTGTATCATAGACACAAAGAGAAGAGAGAATTCCAAGAAAGGAAAGTGGACAACAGCGTCAAGAGGTGTTGAAAGGTCAAAAAGATAAGGTCTGAAATGCATTTGTTATGTTTGGAGATCAAGTAGTCACTGGCAGCCTTGAGAAGAACAGGTTCAAGGACATGGTGGTAGCAGAAACTAAGTAACAGTCAGCAAGGAGGGAATGGAAAAGTAAGGCAATGGGACGTCAAGTCTAGTGTAGGCAACTTTTCCAAGATGCCGGGCTGTGGAGGCAAGAAAAGAGAAAGAAGAGGCAACATTTGGTGGGAAATATGTTGTTGAAAGGTTTTTGTATTCTTTTTTTAAACATAAAAGACTTTTGAGCATGTTTGAATGCTAGTGGGAAGGAGGCAATAGAGAAGAAGAGATGAAAATACAAGACAGAGGGAATATTTGATGGAGAAAATCAAGGCGCCATCATAAAAGAAGGTGCTTTGCTACAGGAAAAGTCTTAAGAATTCTGGCTTTCAAAACTTTATAGTTTTTTAATCTCATATTTTGAAAAAAGTTATAATATTAATTAAGCTTTAGTTACTTAAAGTGAAAAGTGACGTCTCCGCAATTTAATTAAAATAGTTAATCTCTAGATCAATAATAATTTCTTTTCTACGTTTTTACTTATGTCCATATTCTAGTGGCCACATAGCATTTATGGATTGGAGAGATTGTATGGGAGACTCAATAGTGAGAACCAGGGTGGCAACTCTACAGAAACATTTACAACTCTACATATTTCCCACGAAACGTTGTCTCTTCTACAGGCATGAATATTGCTGACACTTTCTTATATGCCCAACGCAGACATCAATAATCAATCATTCTCTTCCACCATATTCAGATACAGTCTCAGCATCCTTCTCAAAGTAGTGCTCCATTTAGTCATTACCAAAGCTATAATGTGAAGTGTGTATGCTATCCTGAGTAACAGACTAATTATCCACTTGGGATCAAACTCCAGTCCCAGTTGCAGAGTGCACTGACTCTTACAACTATCTGAGAATTTAAGGGTTCCCTGGTTGGGCCAGACCACCACAATGTCCTTCTTCCCGAGCCTAGTCTTCTTGCCAAAATCTGGAGCCTGGTCTTCAGACGTCTTTCTCATTTGGAGTGGGCACATTTTGTATGTTTTAAGCTACTGCCACTCCTGGCCAAACCCGACTTCTCTTTCATGAACTGGTGTATGGTTCTTCCTCTCTTGGCATCTGACCCTGTCTCATTTCTAATTTGGCCTTCACTGGCAGCTCCTCAGCTGATAGCTCATAGCAACTGTGCTCTGCTACATGGTTTAGACAAGACATTTTGTGGCTTAGTCAGCTCACCTACTGCTTCTCCTAGTACCCTGTAGGCTCGCCTTTTGTTCATTACACTGTCTACTTAGGACTTCTTCCAAGTAGGAGAACTCATACGGCGATACATGTGTTGCAGTCTTCCGCTCAAGAATCCTCCCCCATGCTTCTCCTGGCCAATCCCTATTTTTCCTTTGGTTTCATTGAACCCATCATTAACTTCCTCCAAGAGGCCTTCCCTGGTCCATCCTGGGATGGGCGTCCCTTCTCTGTGCTCCTGTAACATCTGTATGCCCCTGCCATAGCACCTGTCACACAGCAAGCTTACTGCTTGTCTTCCTGGTTGTCTCTCCAGCTAGATGGGAAGGCAGGGGCCATAAATATCTCCCATCCCTAGACAGTGCTTGGAGTATACCAGTTACCAGTTGCTGCTGAGTTGACACCAACTCATGGTGATCCCATGTGTGTCAGAGTAGAACTGTGCTCCATAGGGTTTTTAAATCCAGGACTTTCTTCTGAGGCACCTCTGGGTAGACTTGAACCTCCAACCTTTTGGATAGCAGCTGAGCATGTTAACCATTTGCACTACCCAGGGACTCCTACCCAGGGACCCCTGATCAGACTATAACCGAACCCATTGCCATTAAGTTGATTCTAACTCATGAGGACCCCATGTGTTTCAGAGTAGGACTGCGTCCATAGGGTTTTCAACGTCGAGACCTTTAGGAAGCAGGTCTCCAGGCCTTTCTTCCAAGGTGTCTCTGGGTGGGTTTGAACTGCCAACCTTTCAGTTAGTAGTAGAGTGTTTAATTGTTTGTACCACTCTGGGACCCCTCTTGGAATATAAAAACAAACAAACTAAACCCATTGCTGTCAAGTCAATTTTGACTCATGGTGACCCCTGTGTTACACAGTAGAACTGAGCTCCACAGGGTTTTCTTGGCTGTGACCTTTTGGAAGAACATTTCCAGGCCTTTCTTCTGTGGTGCTGCTGAACGGGTTCAAACCGCCAACCTTTCAGTTAGCTGAGTGCAAACTGTTTGTACCACCCAGGGACCTTCTTGGAACATAAAACCAAAAGACCAAACTTTTTGCCATCAAGTTGATTCTGACTCATAACATAGTAGGTGCTTAACAGCAAATTTTGAGTGACTAAATGAATGAATGAATGAATGAATGCTATAGCTAGTTTCTTTCAGTTATTTCTATGGAGGTTTTTTTTTTTTCCCATTCCAAACATTTTTGCCTTTAAATCCATTCTGAGAGGGTTGTTTTTTTTTTTTTTACTTTTCTTATATTGTTTTTAACTTTCCTTTTAAGAAAAAAAAAAAAGAGAAAAAACCAACCAACCAACCAAAAAACAACCGAAAAATACCCTTTGTATTTGTAATGTGCAATACATGATAACCAAAAGAAGGGAAGAATAAACCACTTCAGAAATACAGTAAAAATTCACTAGTTCAGATGACAAAAATCCTGAATATCTAATACTATGCACAAGAGTACTCAATTCTTTATAGTGCAAACTACTTTTGTAAATAAGAGCTGGGAAACTGTCTGGAATATTTAAAACAAATTCTGCTCTCAGTAGCGTTTCAGGAATGCTGATGAATATTTAGGTGTATGCTAATTACTAGTCATTTTTATCCATTCACTAAAATAAATGCCTCTCTGAAGAACCTCTGTTGATGAATTATTTGCAAAATACGTTCCACGTTCTCTATCAAGATATGCAAGGCCCTCTACCTCCTGGTGGTCACTGACTTGTGAGTAGATTTGTCTGAGGCCACAGGGTACCTCTGACCTTGATGCTTGAGCCATGCCTGCGAGCCTTACACACAGGGCTACTCCACCTCTGCACCTCTGCTATGCTCCCCCCGCCTGGAAAACCTAGCCCACCTTTCTTTAACTATAGGCGGTTACTCCTGTCCTTGGGCTTGGCTTTCTCTGCCACCCCTGGCTGGGTTGAACGTCCTTCTCTGTTCTCAAAGGCCCTCTGCACAATGATTGTACTAACTGGTCTGGGACAGGATGTGGGTCCTGCTCACTGATGCAATCCCTAGCACCAAACACAATTCCAGGCACAGATCAGCACAGGCAGTTGGTATTGATCAAAACAGAAATGAACTCAACAGTTCCATTTGAAACATTCTATACAATAAAAGTTGACAAAACCACCTTAACATTATTTTATGATTAAAATTGGCCTTCAACCTAACTGATCCGAATTAGTGAGCTTATACTGTACTATTGTTGCTACTGTTAGCTGTCATCAAATCGCTCCTAAGGCATGGCAACCCCATGCACAATAGAATGAAATGTTGCCCGGTCCTTCGCCATTCTAATGATCAGATGTGGATTGGACAATGTTCTATTGCGATCCACAGGATTTTCATTGGCTGATTTTTGGAAGCAGATCACCAGGCCTTTCTTCCACTGTACTATTAATCTTGTATTATCTACCCTATGGGGTTTCCATGAGAATTCAATGGAGCAATGTATTTTAAAAAGTAGTTTATAAAGTCCTAAACAAAGGTTAGTAGTTAGTTAAATTTCTATTACTTAACTAAAATTATATTAGTTATCTACTGTTTTTTAATAGGATTATTTTAAATTAAGATCTTTTCATATTTTTTGTGCACAAGAGCATATCTATATACTGTTATAAATAGGCACGACTTTAAACTAAATCATTTCACAAGCCACAGGAATGGAATTCTGCTCAAACAAGAAAGCAAAACTACAGTGAAAAATTGTGGGTGTGATGTATCTTTCACTCATGAGAGTTTATACTTCTGCCTTTACTACCAAATGCTGCAAATCCCAGTGCATTCTCTGGAACACATTTTGTAGCAACAGTGAATATGTACTAAATGAAGTAGAGAAAGGAACTTGGGCAAAGAAATCATCTTTCAGTTGTAGTAAATTACCTTCCTGAAATTTATAAGTATCAGTAATATCTTGCATGCCATCTCTTCCAACTTGTTTGGTCACAATTAATTTCCCGATGTGGGTGGAATCCACGCCTTCAACCACATGAGTGCCATCTTTTTTGGCTGTAATGTAAACAAGATCACTGTTGACCTGAAAGCAGAAGAAGAGGACAGCATTACCGTTGTTAAATGTCCTTGTCACCTGAACTTTCAACTCTCCATGATGTAATCATCTAGAGATCCCTAGAGTGGACACGTTCCTTTTGTCAACAACAAAGGATTCATAGGGCCAAACTAGTTTTCAAAATATTCTGAAGGAGAATCCAGTTTAATCATCAGATTTTTAAAAATTAAAAACATATAGGGCTGCACCATTGATTGTCAAGACATCAGCCATTTCTTTCTCCCCTTATTTCTTGCTGGAAAAGCCCACCTCCTAAGGGAGAGCTGAAATGCCATGCCCATTACTTGCCTTTCCAGATGTATTTTAAGCTACCAGTGGCCATGTGACCTACTTCTGGGAAGAAGAGAAAGTCGGCTAGGTGAGTTCTGGGGAAGATTCTTCTTCATGAAAGGAGGGAGGTACATGGGCATGAGAGAATCTGCCCTTCCCTTTCTGCTCTCAGATGTCATGTGAGGTAAGGTGATGCTTGCAGCTGCTGTAACCATCCCGGGAGAGAATAGAGGAACACTGCCAACAATCTGAAGATGGCAGAGCAGAAAGGTGAGAAGAATTGGAGTGCTTGACGATGCTGATAAATGGCTAAGCCAACTTTGGGATTATATGAGAAAAATAAACCCCTACTGTTTAAATCATTTTAATTGTGTTACTTGAAGCCAAAAGCATTTTAATTGATAATATTATTACACTATCCAGGGGGAATCCAGGCAATTTTCTGGTAATTCAGAAACTAAACTATGCTATTTGTGGGGCTTGGAAATAGCATCTTGGGGCCACACTGGCTAACCCTCAACTCTTCCAAGGCCTTGTTTTATCACCCTACTTTTTAGAGACAATGCATAATCTGAGCCTGAAAGCTGCTACCCCCAGATTCCCTTATTACATTCTTTTCAATCACCTTCTTGGGGGTTCCACTTACTGAAATGGAAGCAGGTAGGGAACATGCTGCAGCTGAAAACAGTCACTGATGTATTTACTAAATGTTTTCCAAGCTGCTCTCTAAGCCTCAGTTCCCTCCTCTTTTAAATTGGGTAATAATAGTTCTTTCCCCATAGGCTGTCTAGCAGAATTAATTGAAACACATACATGCAAATTATTTATCACAGTGCCCAGCATATAGTCAATAATAAATAATGCTAGCAGCAATAATATATTATGTAATGCTATCGCCAAATATTGTTCAAGGTGCTGGGGACTGAACGGTGAACAGATTCAGTCACTGTCCTCATAGGGTTTACCCTTTAGCAAGGGTGATTCTGTGCATCAGAATCACCTGGGGAAATTTTTAAAAGTAGATGTCTGATGAAGGAGGTCTTGAGTGGGACCCTAAATATATTATTTTTTTAAAAAAGCTCTCAGATAATTCTAGTGGACACCCAGGCCTGAAAACCCCTGAAATATACTACAAAAGTAGAGGGAAAGTCCAGCCCATGATACTATGGAGCCCATGGGGCGGTGGGGTGGGGGGTTGGCTAGGAAGTAACACCCAGGTTGTAACTTGGAAGATGAGTAAGAGTTAGTAAACTAAGGAACGCATGGAAGGCTGTTATAGGCAAAGGGGCTTAGAGGGACAAGGCCCTGAGAAAGGTATTTGGGAGAGGCACTGGATTAGCTGCAAGAATTGGGTTCTGATCTTGGATACGTAATTTTAGAAAGTCATGTTCACCTCTCTGAACTTCAGTTCCAGCTCCTATAAAATGAAAATAATTATACTTGTTCTGCCTATTTCATAGGAACATTTTAGAACTAAATGATATAGGGTATATCTGAAAATGACTTGTAAACTTCCATGTTCAGTAAAATATAATGGCTATTATTAGGTAGTGGGGAAACTAGATGATATATACTCAACTTTTATAGTTGAGGTTAAAGAGAGCAATTTTTCTCTATTTTCTCACAGAATGTTCTGAATTTATATGAAGTTTGACCTCTACTAAGGAGGTATTGAATACCTACAATGTTTCAATGACTTTCTGTAAGTTGTTTAATTTAAACCTCACAACAGCAACCCTGTGAGGTATGTATTTTGATCCCCATTTTACAGATAAGGACACCACGACTCAGTGAGGTCAAGCACATTGTTTGTGGTCACGTGGTCAGGAGCTGGTGGAGCAGAAATTCAAACCCCAGGCTGGTCCTTCACCTGTTTCCTTGACCTTCACATCACACTGCCTCTACCACTTCACCCTGCGGACCACGAACACCAGCCTGACTTAGATGGTGAGATGGTCCCACACTTGGGGGTCAGGCTTCTGAGGGGTGACCAGTGGTGGCCCCACTTCTCAGGCAGAGCCCCCGTGGCTGAGTGGTGCTAGCTGTATTTGAAAGGCTGACATGTGAAATTAGGAATCAGGACAAGAGAAGACAGAGCAGGTACCCAGGGGCTATTTGTAATTTTGGGGGGAAAATGTTTAAAAAACTTTAAATGAGTTGCCTGAGAATTTTGGCATTCCCTTCAAGGGGGTCAGCAAGCATAGACAGCTACCTCCTCCACTTGAAAATTATAGCAATGATGATGATAAATATCCTTGTCATAACAAACCCTTACCACAGTTTATGATTTTCCAGGGAGACAAGGCTAAATATGGAAGCACCTAAACCCTTCTCTCCCCTTGAGCATGGCTTAGGGAATTTACGTAGCTAAAATCTCAGGCCAGTCCAACAACACAATCCCTTGTGGTAAGAGGAAAGGACAGCCACATTTACAGGACAGCTTTTGTATATGTGTATTGTGGGTGGATGCTGGGAAAGATACTCTTTCCAAGTGATGTCGTCAAGCTTTCTTTTCATCTTCAGCCACTAGTATGGTGGATCTCCATCCTGACTGCACCTTAGACTCACCTGAGGGGCTTAACAAAATACATGTGAGGCCCCACCCAGAATCAATTGAATCACTACAGTAGAAGAGTAGAATGTGCAGGATATACAGGAAAGAATATTGAATTTGGGCAAGTTACTGAATCTTTCTGAGTGTGGGTTTAATACTTTCCTTGCTGGGCTAGTGGAGTCCCTGGGTGGTGCAAACTGTGAAAGCACTTGTTTGCTAACCAAAAGGTTGGAGGTTCAAGTCTACCCAGAGGTGCCTTGGAAGAAAGGCCTGATGATCTACTTCCAAAAAAATCAGCCATTGAAAACCCTATGGTACACAGTTCTACTCTAACATACATGGGGTCACCGTGAGTCAGACTCAACTCTATGGCAACTGGTTTGTTTTGGCTGGGCTGGTAGGTAGGTTAGTACTACCTGTGAAGCCTTAAGTTTAAGGCGAATTTCCTTCTTTTGAATGCAAAGGGTCTTAGTCATTGACTAGTCCTACCCCTGCATTTGAAGGGGCTAATATCATGCAGATCCTCTGTATCCAACATGAAATCTGGTGCTGTTTTCGCTCCACCACCTCCCTGCCCCTTGGTCTGACACAGGCCCTCTTACGTAGAATGGGGCCTGGATACCAGGAATTCAGCAAAGTTGGGCTGTGGCAGCAAGTTAGAGGGCACCTCTCTGCAAACTTCTGCTTGTGCCCATAGAATGTGAGGATGTGTCTGTTGCTGGTAGAAGCTACGTCCTTCGCCATTAATCATGGACAATCGCTCTTGTTTTCAGGACCCAGGACAGCATTTGTTTTGGGATGTTCATTTGCTTCCAAGTAGACGTAACCACAGCTGCACGCTGTGCAGAGAAAATGGCTGCTCATCAGAGGAGTATGGGGGCAGTGGGTGCACAACAGCCAAGTGCCAACCCCCGTACTTGCCCTTCCTCCATCTATCTGTAGATGTCAGTTGTGCTGCCAGGCTCCAGTGTGTGCTCTCTGCTGATCATGCATGCTTGTCACATGTGTCCATCATCTCACCATCATGGCTGCAAGCCTTGAGGATGTGACTCTGGCTCCTAGCTCTCTGAGATACTGTTCCTAGCAGTGTACTTTGCACCACTCTTGCCTGCTCGCTTGATTGACTTATTCATTCAATAAATATTCATTGAAGGTTACTATGTGCCAGGTCCTGCTCTCTACCATGGGGATACAGCAGATCCTACCCTCATAGAGCTTATATTTCAGAAGGGAGAGAAATAATAAACATTAAGGCAGAGTAAGAAGGTAAAAACAGAGAATATAGTGATATTATAAGTGGGAGTGCGTTAGTGAGGACCTCTTTGAGGAGATGACTTGGGTGAAGTGAGGTAAGAAATCATGCAAATTGGGCTAGGAGTAAGGGGAGAGCATTCCTAGTAAAAGGAACAGTATGTGCAAAAACTCTGAAACAAGAGCATGTTTGGATGTTTCCAGAAGAACAAGGAGGTCAGTATGCCTGGAGCAAGGGAACGTGTGGGAAGGAAGCCAGGGGCCAGATCACATGGAGTCTAATAAAGATATATTTTCAGTATTTTTTTAAGGGTAATGGGAATCCATTGGATGGTTTGGCATGGGGGTGTGACATTTTTATTTACATTTTTAAAGGATAATTCTGGCTGGTTTGTGGAGAATAGACTGAACAGGGGTAAGAGAGAGAGAGTAAGAGACGGTTAGGAGGCAAATTCATTAGAGCTTAGTGCAGCGGGCCAGAGGGTAACAGCGGAGATCAGAAACGTGGTTGGGTTCATGATACTTTTGAAGGTATTATTGGCAAGATAAATGAGGTAAGTTAAGAAGAGGCACCAAGATAATTCCAAAGTTGTATTTGTTTTTTGAATGCATGAATGAACTATTTTAGATCAGACTAAGACACTAAAAATTGCCCTGCATCTAATAAGTGGAAGTAAATAAACTACAACTTTGAGTTGGGAAATAAGAATCTGCAAAAAGTACCTGTACAGATTGTATACGGAGAACTGCTGGCCAAGAGCTGGGAATGGCATAGCTTCTGGAGCCATGGGGTGGTTACTGTGGCCCTGAGAAGCCAGTCACTGCAGCTACAAAAATGGCAGGGGAGGGAAGGAAGAGGGAGTGTGTGTGTGCAGTGGATGTGTGCCTTGTGCACGTGCGTGCTCATGCATGTGTGGATACTTTTACATGTATATTTGTGTGTGCACATGTATGTGCATGGAGTCCATGTGCACACATGTGCATAAATGTTTGTGTGTACACACATTCACACGTGTTGTGTGTTCACTGCATGTGTGCACATGCATGAGTGTTCATGTGTGTAGTGCACTGCATGTATATACATGTGTGTATGTGTACAGTGCATGTGTGTGTATGTATGTTTGTATGAGTAAGAAAGAGTTTTTTTGGGGGAGGGTGTGAAGAGAGATGACTGAGCCAATTAGAAGAAGCTAAGATAAAAGGGAAGGGGCATCCCTGGAGTGCCTCATGAACATGGACGTTCAGAAGACAATTCCAGACACTTAGAACTGTTGTGTTCGTCTCATCTCTTCAGAAGTCCTAGGCCACCAAGAGTTGGGGAGAGAAAAGGCAGATGGGCCTTGAGAACTGAAGGAACCCACTACATGATGAAACCATGAGAAGGGACGAGGTTAGATAAATAGGCTACAAGTCCTGAAAGAAATCTAGAAATGAGAAGGGTAAATTTTCAGAAAGGAGGACAAGAAGAAAAGTGACAGAAGACAAGGCTCTTTCCATACATAACCCTCATATTCTAGGATTCTGTTTTCACTCAAGGGGATCAGGGTCCTGGGAAAACCAAAAAATTAGTCAGTGAACATACTGCGTGATCTGGCCTGGAAATGAGTAAGGAATGAACAAGAAAGTGGACATGCTGAGAGGCAAGGAAAGGCAACTCCCACCGACATACCTGGGGTAGTGAGCGGCATGCTTACAAAGCAGGGATAAGAGAGAGAGCGCCTAATCTAAAACCTGAGTCCTGTATCTCCCCATTAAAGGTAAATACTACGTCCACTATGGGGTTCCACTTTAGGCCCCCTTGAGAAAAGACGTCTCATGTTTTCAACAGCTTGATCTTATCTTATAAATGGCTCAGCCCTGGAGCTCAGCCCGAGCTAGAGCCACAAATCGTATGCTGTCAGACAGGTCTCCACAGTGGATGAGGAGGAGTAATTATAATCTTCAAATGCTGATGACATTCATAACACCCAGATCTATATTTAATAATAACAAAAAACATTTACATTAACAGCTATTAGACAATTAACTCATGAAGGAAAATTCTCCCTCTGTCTTTCTCAGCAGCGATAAGGAGTAAAGAAATTATAAAAACAAGGCTTTGTGAATTTTAGAGTGATTTTCCATTAAGAGGTTCTCACAGCATCATAAACTTTCAGATAGCAGCTCTGGAGCTTTGTGTAAGTCTTCAAATCTCAACCTGAAATCAAGGGATACAATTCCAAATACGGTATGCTCATTCTCCCAAGGGTTCTAGCAACTCTAATGGTAATTTCTGTGGGAGAAACATGCTTTCTGTGGTGTATTTCGAATTTCTGATTTTGCAGTCTAAATATTCACAATTATTTTACTTCTGAAATTTTTCCTCCACCTGCCTCTCATTTGATTGCTCTTGCCATTTGTTTAGTTCAGGACTCCCTGTCTCAGGCATGGAGTAATGTCCCAGCCTTCTAGCTCATCTCCCTACCTCCAGTGACATTCCCATCTGATTCGTGAGCCAGAAGGTTGCCAATGATTTAGGAGCTGGCTCACATTCCTCCCCAGTGAGAACCCCCTTGCTTACTGGAGGACACCCACATTTCTCCCTGCCTTGTCCCCTCAGCCATCATCTCTGACATTCCCGGCTGCACACCTGACATTCCAGTGAGCTGCCCAGGTTTCCATCTCTCACACACACCGTTTGGTGCTCACCTGCCTGAAGTTCTCTCCTTCGCCTGAAACGCCTTCCCTTCTCTGTCTTCTTTCTAACTCCTGTGTCTGAATAACTGCTGAGCATCTTTTGAGATTTGCATTGGGCATATCTGCTGCAAAAGACCTCTTTAAAGTGTTAAAAAGCAAACATGTCACTTTAAGGACTAAGGTGCACCTGACTCAAGCCATGGTGTTTTCAATTGCCTTATATGCATGCCAAAGCTGGACAATGAATAAAGAAGACCAAAGAAGAATTGATGCCTTTGAATTATGGTGTTGGTGAAGAATATTGAATATACCATGGACTGCCAGAAGAACAAGCAAATCTGTCATGGAAGAAGTACAGACAGAATGCTCCTTAGAAGCAACGATGGCGAGACTTCATCTCACATACCTTGGACATGTTCTCAGGAGGGACTAGTCCTTGGAGAAGGACATCATGCTTGGTAAAGTAGAGAGTCAGTGAAAAAGAGGAAGACCCTCAATGAGATAGATTGACACAGTGGCTGCAACAATGCGGTCAAGCATAACAACAATCATGAGATGGTGCAGGACCTGGCAGTGTTTCGTTCTGTTGTGCATAGGGTCTCTATGAGTTGAAACTGACTTGATAGCACTTAACAACATAACAATAACATCCTTCAAGAGCAGTACAGGCACTAATTCCTCAGTACAGGCTGCTAATTGAAACATCGGAGGTTCAAGTTCACTCAGAGGCATCTCAAAAGAAAGGCTTGGTGATCTACTTCTGAAAAATCAGCCATTGAAAACCTTATGGAGTGTAGTTCCACTCTGACACACAAATTGGCTTGATAGCAACTGAGTTTTTCTGGGTTTTATTATGCTACTATATTACTATTTACTAGCTAGATGATTATGGAAAGTTTATTTAACTACTTTGTGCCTCAATTTTCTTTTCTGTAAAATGGGAAGAATTATAATACCCATTTTAAAGAGTTGTTAAGAGTATCAAATGGAAGGCAACGTGATTACAGAGCATGAGCTCAATACAGGTAGCTGTTATTTCAGTGTGTTTATTGGTCTAACTATAGCTGGCTAAGTCCTGTCTCTCAGCCTTTCCTATATCTCTCCCTGCAACCTGTCAGCCTGCTCCTTTACCTGACACTTCTTGCGTTTAATTCGATTTTCAGAATTCTGTTTGGCATATTGTTTACTGCCTCTTCTCCTTCAAGCCCTCTCCTCAGTTTTTCCAGAATTTCAGACCCCTCACCAAAGTGTTCCCATGAACCCGTTAAGTGGGCTGCATCCCTCCCTCCCTCTTTCCTCCTCACTCTGGTGGCTCTACTTTTCCTCTCCAGTGATGGCAGGAAATGCATGGCAGTTCCCAGACCAAGACCACGGTTGGTGTGTTTGGATTTTGTGTTACAAGGATTACTGGTCTAGTTGAAGAGTGAAGTTGTACGCATAGAAATTTCAATTTATGGACTCTCTCTATTAATTTTTAGTCAAGTGGTTTAGCAGCCTGGTGGCGCAGTGGTTAAGAGCTAGGCTGCTAACCAAAAGGTGGGTAGTTCGAATCTACCAGCTGCTCCTTGGAAATTTTATGGGGCAGTTCTTCTCTGTCCTATAGAGTTGCTATAAGTTGGAATCGACTTTATGGCAAAGGGTTTGTTTGTTTTATAATTCATTTAATCACTTTATTTCTGAGGGGCAGTTGATACCTATTTTATTGATTTAGAAAACTGAGCTAAGGTTAGTAAATCATTGTTTTTGGGAGGAAAAAGGAAAATAGTATGTAAGAACTGCACTTAGAATTAAGAACCTGGAGGTTGGAATGATGCCTAGTTAACTTATAAACAAACAGCATATACCATGTACCTAGGAAATTTAGAAGTAACAACCCAGCCTTGTATTCTTTCATGTGTTAAGAGATTGAGGAGGAAAACAGTATTCTCCTCCTGGTTTTCACTCACCTCTGCGAAAACAAAGGGTGCATCAAACTGGAAGCAAACATGGCCATGCTTGACGGCTTGAACAGAGGCGGGGCCACACCGGTACATCCCTACAGTACACAGAGGAAGGAGAGCATGAGTATGCCACCTCCAGTTCTGCATGGACACAACACAGTTCATAGCACTGGGAATGGCTCTTTAGACACAAGCTTTTCACAACTTTGTCATTGATTTAGTCCAAATGCTCTCCATGGCTGAACAGGGCAGAAGGCCACAATGTTTAATGAAGCAGGTTTGGTTGGAAATGCTTCCTCAAACTAAAATGTGAAGCCATATTAAAAAATATGAAGGGTAACACTCTTCTGCATCTATTCTGCCACCAACAAACACATATCCAAGTGTATTTTGGCCAAGCTGTTGTCTTGCCTAGTGTTTATCTCTTTTTTAAACAAGTATCTGAAATGTTGGAAAAGTTGATGTGTCCTCAGTGGTTGTTGTTGTTTATTAGGATTTTTGTCTTTTGTTTTTGGAGATTATGACTAATTTATAGCCACAATTGAGGTCAAATTTAACTGGAGAATCTGGCATTAATCACACACGTTGACAACGCCTGCCATGGATTCAGGAAGTCGGCAATTTCATGTTTACTTTTACAAAATTCTTTAGACTTTAACCACTATCTCTAGTTGATATCTGATTAGCTGTCATTAGTCACCTCTATGATGTAAGCCATCTCATGACGTATAATCCAGAACACCAGGAAGTGTTGAACCTTCTCTCTTAAAATTCAGTATTATAATAAGGTTCCACTAAGAATATGAACTGAATGTTTATCTTTAGGTGGTGCATATGGTTAAAGTGCTCGGTTGCTAACCAGAAGATTAGAGGTTCAAGTTCACCGAGAAGCATCTTGGAAGAAAGCCCTGGCTATCTACTTCTGAAAACCTTATGGAGCACAGTTCTACTCAGACACATATGGAGTCTCCATGAGTTGGAAATCAACTTGATGGCAACTGGTTTATGCTTTCATATGTCTATATATCCAGATCAGTGAATCATATCAACACCTGAGGAAATAAACTTAATCATGCCCCCAGCAGACAGCTTTTTTTTTTTTTTAAATCATATTAAAGAGAAATGTAGGCCTATGATCTGATTTTATAAAATTCTGGGAGAGGTCATAGCTGCCACTGCTTAGCCCAGGTTGCAAGTAAGCAGACAAATACCCTCATATCCAAATTTTGAAAGAAATCACACAACATCAAAAGGAAATCAGGTTCTGGGGAAATAAGAATTTAAAGAACAATCTGTAATTATTTTTTGAGTTCCTTATTTTCTCTACTGCCTTATAGCTTATCACTGTGTGTCTGGGAGGGCTGAAGTATATTTTATAGGTTAGTAAAAATTCTTACACAGATTTTTTTTGTCTTGTCTTCAAAACTGTTTATCAAAGCATGAGTAGATGAATTATATATGTTAAGTTTTATGTTCTTTTTCTAAAAGTTATAAAATAATCAGGATAAAGCTGAGTATTGGAAAGAAACTTGATGGGCAGGTATTCCATACTGTTTGTGTACCCAGAAAGCACACTTCTGATGTTGGTGTGCAATGGGAGTGCTTTCCACATGTCAAATGAAATCATAAAAGCAAAATAAAGATTGGCAGTGAAGCAATTTCCTCAAGTGAGGATGCAGCTTTACCATCACTGTTTTCCTGGGGGGTGCTGTCCACAGCTTGCCAACCACCAAATCCAACAGGAAGGTCAGGCCTCTTCATCCAGGCCTCATTCCAGCAGTGGTAGTTCCTTAGAAAACACAACCAACCAAGAGGTTAAACTTTCCATCACAGTCAGTGCTCCAAGCCATCAGAAAGTCACCCAGAATCCTAGGGATATATTATCTACAAATTATTGGAAAGCATTAAGGTAATTTGGGGCTCCTGGAGATGTGCTGGGAAACTAGACTTGAGTTTGCTGGGCAGATGCATTTCCACTGGCACACCTTGGGGACACTCACAGTCTGGATGCTGTTTTTCTCCTGTGAATATCAGCTTCAGGGTCACCCAGAGCTATTTGGATCAGTGCACTAAGCAGTTTTGATCTTAACTATTCTTTGTTGCCTAATGAAAGCAGAACTTACTGTGTGTTAAAAGGGTAGAAAAGAAAATCGAAACAGAAATACATAGATCTTTGAATTTCTTTTATATATTTTGGATTTATAAAAAAATATTACTTTGCAATAATTAAGTAGTAAAGTACTTTGTGTTTATGGTCTCAGACCATTGCCATAGAAAGGACTGCATTAACTACTGACAATAGTTCTTTATAATTTGTGGCAAATTTCCATTTGGTGTTAAATGAGAAGAAAATGTTGTCAGGGTGAGTGTCTCTTTACCCTTTATCAAAGGTGGGTGACCCATGAGCTAAGGGCCATGCAAAACATTTTAGGACTTTGCATATGACCCTTGAGGCCAGAGCATGAAATAAAATGTCATCATGAATTGTATTATTATGTCCTTGGGAAGACCTAAAATTATATGACAGTACAGAAACAAATGGGAACACGTTAACCTATCAGCACTGTAGAAAATGTTCATACAGAAATAACGACTTAATGATGGGGTGAGGTGGTTATAGCAGCCTTCGTTTATAGCACTAATGAATTCCAGATCCAACTATTATCCATCCTTCCCCTAAAAGTCCTTCAATGTCAGTAATTTGTTTGTATTCCCACTTCTCTCTGAGTTCAGACCACCTATGTTTGGCTCAATTAAGATGTTTTAATATACATTTATGGAGTGGTACCATGTACCAGGTACTGTGCTAGGTGCTAGGTATTTAAAGATGATCAAGGCTCAGGTTCTTGATCACAAAGAGCCAGGGGGAAAGACAAACATATAAAACAACCACTAAAACTTTTATAGGTTTGTTATCAGGCTTAGGCATCTCTGGGTGGTGTAAATGGTTAACACTCTTGGCTGCTAACTAAAAGGTTTAATGTTCAAATCCAGCCAAAGCTCCTCAGAAGAAAGCCCTGGTGATCTGCTTTCAAAAACTAAGTGATGCATGCTAAAATGGAAATTCATTGGAAGGGGAGTGGGATCTCAGTGGAGAAATTTCCAGGCACTAGGGAAGGAAGGCTTCACAACAGAAGTGATCACTTCAGCTGAGTCCTGAAAGATAAGTGGCAGGTGGACGAAAGGAGCAAAAACAATAGAGGTGTGAAACGGCTAACACAGTGTGTTCAGGGAACTGGAAGCTGCTTGTTATGGCTCAAGGGTCTTATGTCTGCATATTTGTGTGCATGGGTGAAGAGTAATGGCAGAGAAGGGTGGACAGGTAATCACAAAACTAACAAATAGGGGTAGCGCTTACTATGTGCCAGGCACTGTTCAAAAGACTTTATGTCTACTAACACATCTGATGTTCCCAGCACTCTGTGAGAAAGATGCTATTATTATTACCTCTAGTAGAAGTGAGGGCACTGAGAGATTAAGAACCTTGTCCAAGTCACACTGCCAGTTAGTGACAGAGTTCCAGGGTCCATGCTCTTACACACTGAGCTATGCTGTAAGCGAGGATGAGATTGTGGGATAATTTTATGCCAAGTTAAATATTTGCGCTTTATTCTTAGGCAATGAGAAGGCTTTGAAATCATTTAAGAAGGAGAGTTAAAGTTACAGATCTCCCATCTCTGTGGGAGATGGATGGAGAGGCAATACTGGAGACAAAGCCAAGCCCCTTGCCCCATCAGAGACACTGCAAAGGTCTAGAATGGATCAAAGGGGTGCTCACTACAGAGGAGGCCACTGCTGGGGGAGGGAGAGGAGCCTTCAGGAGGCACAACCAACCGGCGTGTGGAAATGTGAGGGAGCTGGATGAGTGGAGGAAGACTTTGTTGTTCACAGGGAATACGATGGCCCCATTTACGAAGACTGAATAGAAGAGGAGGAGCAGAAGATTTGTGTTGGGGTGGAAGCGATGGTGGGCAAATCGCTTAGTTTTGGACATGGTGAACTTCAAGTGCTTGTGGAAAATCCAGGAGATGAAACCTTGCAGGCATTTTTACATACACACGTGACACTCAGAATTTAATGGAGCCTTGACTGGAGATGGAAGGGGCGAGGGCAAAAGACAAAGAATGAGTGCGAAGGGGAGAGAGGCAGGGTGGGTTTCTTTCTTGATAGTGATCTAATTTGTGAAAGGAAGAAAAAAAAACAGATACGGCAGTGGCAATTTTTTGGTGAGGAGAGATTAAGGCATTGTTATGGAGGAAGAATGCAGTAAAAAGGGAACAGATAAACATTTAAGAGAGAGGGAATAAAGGAGCTCTCAAATACCAAGGACACAGCAGGATGGGGTCAGAATCCCCAGCCATGGACACAGTGGGAGAAAGGGGGTGCAGATGCACAACAAGGGGAAGATGTGGAGGAGTCAGGCAGGAAGATGGGGTAGGACCTCTTTCCCACCTGAGAGCCTCTATTTTTGCTCTGAAGCTGGAAGGAAGGTCACTGTGAGTGTTGAATAACGACTCTGCTAGCTTCCCTTCAGAACAGTAAAGGCTGTACCATCAGGCAGAGAGATACAAAGAAAAATAGCAATAACATGTTTGCAATCCCGAACAGACATCAGTGACTGCTGCCTATACAACCTGTGGTGGAGAGGAGCCCTGGCTTTGAGTGTTTTACCACCAATCTAGATTAATAAGCCCCAGAACATCCTTATTTAAATTCAGATAGCCTTGGCAAGGTTAACCTTGAAAAAGATAAATATGCTTTGCATTTCAGATCTCTGGTAAAGACTTGTCTTTGAGGATAATGTTTCTTTTCAAATGACCAGGAGATGGACGAAGGTTTCATTCCCCTCACTATGGTATCTAATTAGTTACACGTGATCTTCTTCAGCTTCACTTATGCCTGAGATGTTATCTGTGTATTTGGGTGGAATGGTTTAATAATCCACTAACCATCCGACAGTTTGTCATACTGTGCTGGCTTGCATGTTGCTGTGATGCTGGAAACTATACCACCAGTACTATTTCAAATACCAGCAGGGTCACCCATGTTGAACAGGTTTCAGTGGGGCTTCTAGACTAAGACAGACTAGGAAGAAAGGCCTGGCGATCTACTTCTGATGATTAGCCAATGAAAACTCTATGGATCATAACCAGATAGTGTCTGATACAGTGCTGAAAGTTGAGGCCCCTAGGGTGGAAGGCACTCAAATACACAGTGGCGGCAACAACGGACTCAAGCATATCAATGATCACCAAGATGGTAGAGGACCAGGCAACCTTTTGTTCTGCTATACATGGGGTCACCATGAGTCAGAGCCAACTCTATGGCAACTAACAAAATCAGCATGCATGTCTTCATATCCCAAATTCCCCAAGAAAGGAGCTAATCTTTACAGACATTTCTTGATGCCATTTGCTTAACCTTTCAGGGTGGAAAATATATATACTGCTTCCTGCAATATTGTTTCATATTTTAAAGTTTCTTTATCTAGATCCATAGTACTCTTGTGGTTTTCCTCTCATTACGAAATTCTACGAAGCCACTTGCTTGTCCTGTTCTGCACCCCACCCCAGCACAGAGCAGCGCCTGGCATGCAGGAGGGCTCTCTGGGCACGGGCTGGTTGACTGGTGAGGACATCTCCAAGCAAGGCAGTGGGAATTAAACCTTTGCTTGTTTGTTTTTAAGGTTCAGGGTTTCATAGTTTTTCAGAGCCTTCATTTGAAACCCAGGGTCCCATTATCCAGTCACAGTATAACACTGTTCCTGTAAAGTTAAAAATATGATAAACTTACAAAGTGACCTAGTTTCCTTGTAGCCTCTTTCTAAAGAAGCAGTGTAGAAATTAAAATAATGCCCCATTTCACTGAGAGTTGTTTAATCAGGGTGCCAGGATGAAAAAACTTTTTTTTTTTTTTTTAATAATGATGAGGATGACAAGTGAAGAACGCATCTTCGTTTCCTTTGACTTCCTGTATATTTCGTGCAGTGACGGCTAGTGATTTTTAGAACTCATTTCACGGCTGCAAATAACACAGCAGTATTGGTACCAAGTACCCCGAGAATCACCCCACAAGGCCAGGCTTACTTAAACAATACAGCACCAGGCAGTGCTGGAGGCCTGGGAAGGGGTGCTACAGGGCTGGCTTAGTTTATTCTTTGACTCCTTGGAATTTACACACAAGACATAATCACACAAATGCAAAGGCAGGTACATAAGAATGCGCATCCTAGCATAATTTATAAGAAAGAAAAATCAGAAACAACCTAACTGTACAAATGTGATTAATTATTTTGAAACACAAAATAGAATGCTATTCAGCCATAAAAATACAGAGCTAAACTTAATAGGCCTACCACCCATCTCTCAGTTTATTGGACTGTGGTGGCTTGCATGTTGCTGTGATGCTGGAAGCTATGCCTCTTATATTCTAGTACCAGCAGGGTCTCCCGTGGTGGACAGGTTTCAGTGGAGCTTCCAGACTAGGAGGAAAGGCCTGGCAATCTATTTCCAAAAATTGTCGTTGTTGTTAGGTGCCATTGAGTCCATTCCGACTCATAGCGACCCTATGTACAATAGAAGGAAACACTGCCCAGTCCTGTGCCATCCTTACAATTGTCGTTATGCTTGAGCCCATTGTTGTAGCCACTGTGTCAATCCGTCTTGTCGAGGGTCTTCTTCTTTTTCACTGACCCTCCAATAAGCTGCTCAAAAATTAGGCAGCGAGACGCTATGGATCACAACAGAACATTGTCTGATATAGTACTGGAAGATGAGCCGTCTAGATAGG